GTGAACCTTTCGTCCATGCTCTTTACTCACCGAGTCGACGACTCCCATCGTGTGAAGCTTGAGGTTTGGAGTGCACCGGGCCTATCGAAGCCGTTGTTTCAAGAGGCTATGAAGCAGAACTTCAAGCCTGCGAAGAAGGGGGACTCGTTTGGACCGTCCTGTAAGCTTTCTCCCGCGTGTTGGTGTCTGAGATGCTGAGCTATGCGCAGGGGTGAGTCTTAGTTACGCTGAGATACTTTGAAGCTCGCTCCTCGCTTCGAAGTTGAATATATGCGCGTAACGCGTTCTCCTTCTGCTGTGATGATCATGTCGCGTCGATAGTTCATCATAGTTCCTTGGACCCTTATAAGCTACTAACACCCTTGCTAGACGAACCACTGGTGGAAGGTTGCGCTTGATATCCCCTCGTACTTCCAGCAATATGAGCGAGTTCAATGTATGTTACATCTCATTCACGCTGGCCTCAGATGGCTCATTATCCACGTTGCAGTCGAGTTCGACCCCGGCTGTGAAGCTATGATTTTCAGCACGGATGGTACGCCCCTCCAAGGCATTACCGGCGGGTTTGGCGGCGACAGACGCGTGGAGCACATTATACCAGCAAGTGCAGTGAAGAAGGGCACGTACTCCATCGTGATCGAATCCAGCTGCAACGGCATGTTCGGTGTCCCATGGAATGGGGACACCATTGCTCCACCGGACATGAACAGATTCTTTGGCCTCGCGTCGGCGGACCTCGTGGTGCCCAACATGGATGCTTGGGGCTTGCTTGCCGATTTCAACACATTGAAGGAGATCTCAGAGACATTGACTGGGAACACCGGTTTGCAAAACAAGGCGTTGGTGGCTGCAAATGAAATCATGAACATTTTCGACAACAAGGATCTAGCGAGTGTGAAGAAAGCACGCAAGAGGGCAGAAGAGGTCTTCGGCTCTGGCTGGGAGAAGAAAGGGGAGAAGATCTACGATGAGGGCACGGATCGTCACCAAGTCTGGGGTATCGGATATTGTCACATCGACACTGCTTGGTAGGTGTGGTATGCACATCCTCATGATCTTACTGACGTTCGCATAGGCTGTGGCCGTATCGCGTGACTCAGCAAAAGGTGGCACGATCTTGGTCGACGCAGGTCGATCTGATGGAGCGCTATCCTGAGCATCGCTTTACGTGTAGCCAGGCGCAACAGTTCAAGTGGCTCGAGGAGCTCTATCCGCCGTTGTTCGAGCGCGTACGCGAGAAGGTCAAGGCCGGCACGTTTCACCTTGTCGGAGGCGCCTGGGTCGAGAACGACGCGAACATGCCCTCTGGTGAGGCTCTCGTCCGCCAGTTCACCCACGGTCAACGCTACTTCGAGACCCGCTTTGGCAAGCGCTGCGAGACGGCATGGCTGCCCGACTCATTCGGCCTGACTGGAGCATATCCACAGCTAATGCGCATGGCTGGCATGAAGTATTTCTTCACGCAGAAACTTTCTTGGAATAATATGTAAGTTAGTTCTCTTGCTGAGCGCGCACATGTAGCTCAACTGACGCTCGGATAGTAATGTTTTCCCTCACTCGACCTTCAATTGGGTTGGTATTGACGGTACACAAGTCTTGTGTCATATGACGCCCGTCGGTGCGTAGCTTACGTTCGGCATTTCAATTGTTTCCCTGCGACTTACCTCGCCCAGATACTTACACTGCCCAGGCTACTGTTAACGATATCAACAAGGGAGTAACAAATCACAAGGTACGAATAGATCCATCCAGTTTTTAAATGCTGCTAACTCGGACATACGATGTCAGAATCTTGAGTCGTCAGATAAGTCTTTGCTCGTTTTCGGCAATGGTGACGGTGGAGGGGGCCCGCTGCCTAAGATGCTCGACAACGTATGTGTCCACTGATGGCCGCGCTGGATGTTTTTAATCTGGCCGATACAGCTCCGTCGCATTCGCGCCGCGAGTAATAACTCGCGCGAACTTCCTCCGGTGATCATGGGCCCATTGGTGGAAGACTTCTTTGATAAGGTTCTGGAAGAGTCTAATGCGGGCACCGACTTACCGACTTGGTATGTTTCTACGGATCGTAGATCAGTTGCAGTACTCAGGGATTGTCTGTAGGAACGGTGAACTGTACCTCGAGGTGAGCTAGTTTCCCTTTACATGCTGTCGAGCTGACCATAGCGCTGTAGTTCCATCGAGGCACCTATACCAGCCATGGCTCGATCAAAAAGGGCAACCGCAAGTCTGAGATTCTCCTCCGAGATGTCGAGGTATGTCCCCTTCTTACCAGGTGAAGTTCAGATAGCTGATGTACTGCCGAAGCACGTGGCAACGCTTGCATCGTTGTACAGATACCACAAGCATGATTACGAATACCCCAAGGCTAAGATTGATGTCTGCTGGGAGAAGGTGCTGTTGAACCAATGTAAGTACCGTCATGATCTCATAGTTCGCGAGAGATGTACTGACGGCTGCCATAGTCCATGATGGTGAGTTGCAAGGTCATGCATCTACTCGAAGTTTGTTAGGCTGATCGACCCCTGCAAATCAGTCCTCCCTGGATCTGCCATGTAAGGACTATCCATACTCTTGTTTTCGCCTCTTCTGACCAATGGCATAGTGGC